GCATATCGATATTTCTACAGACTTGTCGCACAGTCCTAACCATATGGCCTGTCGCCCGATCAACTCCCCATAATTCTTCCATCAAGTCATAGTACCTAATGGAAGACACTCTCCATTTAGCTGCAGCTGGCTTCGCCTGCAACTAAAAACCATGATTATCACCCCTAATTACTATGTTTCACTAATTCAATAAATTCCGAATGTTAAAACATTACCTGCAGCAGGTCATCCCATACTTCAGGCTCAGCTGTAAACCGTTTCGTGGACTCATCCCACGCAAATCCACTAAGTCCACTAGACAATTCGTGAACCTCCCACCATCTATCCTTCAGACTTTTTTGTCTATTTTTAACATTATTTTTCGTGATACCCGTTAATCCAGTCTGTCGGAGGGCTTCAACAATATTATTGTATGCTTGGGTTGTCCAACTACCATCAACCCGATTGCCCAACCTAGCCTCGTCAAGCATGGCAGTCAATAAACGAAAGTCCATGTCATCAGTCCATTTGGTGAACTCGCGGACCGTAGTCGAGGAATCAGGTACAACAATTTTTCCTCTGTTCATTTTCCACCTATTGCAAAAACAAGGCACGCAATGATGATAATCATATGTAAAATTTATGAATGAAAACTTGTAACAGAATAATTTATTACAATTACAACAGTACATCTTATTAAATACATTATTAAATACATGATCTAATTATTAGTATAATTTGTCCACATTTCATATGCTATAGCATCCCGTATAGTTGACCCTTCCCTATGATCATCCTCACGAGCTTGAGTCGGCATGGTATCCATAGGTTGTTCCATCAACTCTCGATCGACCTCTGCTAACAGCGATTCATCATTGTCTACGCCTCGAAGAAAATTGTGTAAAATGCAACATGCTAGTACAATATTCGTCATTGTATCGAATGAATAATGAGGTTCGGTTCCACTAGCTATTATAGGAAATCTTTTCTTCAAGACGCCAAATGTTCTTTCAATCACATTTCTAAGTGACGAATGTCGATGGTTAAACAATTCTCTTGGGTTTTGTGGAGCTCTTCGAGAATACTCTTTAAGGTGATATCGAACCCCTCGATACGGCGTAATTATTTGTCCTTTTAACATAAATCCAGCATCCCCCAAGTAGTATTTACCTAATTAAAGTCATTGAAGTTATACTCATTATAATATCGTAAGTACGTTACTATACACTAATTACGAAGTAAATAATAACTAACCTTGTGGTATGATAAGTGGATCCTCTCTACCTGGGACATCCTTTAATATTCTTGAATCAGATGCTGTTCCTTCCCACCCTCCTAGAACATATGTGAATTTCATGTCGAAATCACAAGCTGCGAATACGTTTTGGGTTGGCCAATCTTTTCTTCCATGAAAATGGGGGGCATCTGATCTTCCTAATTTAACTCGGACATGAGTTCCATCTATTGCCCTTAAACAATCCTAAGTACAAACAATATGATAGTAATACGTTATTTTTAATGTTCAAATACGTCTATGTGATGTAATACTTTAGTTTGGCACTGAATTACCTTAAAGTATGGGTAAAACTGACTATTGTTTAAGATATAAGGATCAACATTTCTGCCTGATGGCTGAACTAACATTTCTCCCTTCAACATAATGATCGCATTCAACACGTTATGAAAGTGTCGACTAACAGTTTTCCCAGATCGATGGAAAAAAAATGAAACACTTCAATTTTTAACGTTGTGTCCGATAATATGGAGGAATTTAACCACTTGTTCTTCCACTGTTGATCGGAAGGCATCCTTGACCAATCTAGTTGCCCTTACTCGTTCATATAAGTTAATGAATATGCCGCAGGTCCCATGCGAATAATGTCACGACATTGTTCGGTGTGAATAAGGTATGACATCAACTCATTCGTATGACGTTCTTTTTGCGAAATGAAGTCCCTAATGTTACTTGTGGGACAACGTATGGTACACAACATATTTAACCCAAAAGCTACGAGACAAATGATTGTCATTGCTCCTACTTGGGTTCGCATTTGTATTTCACTTTGTATTTGTGTAATTAAATTCAAGTCCAAATCATTATCCATTTCTTCATTGTCTAAACTAACAACATCGATATTTTCGTCTGGCATCTAAATATTTTTCGAAATAACAAATTTATTATTCTAATCAAATATGATTAAAAACGAAAATATAAACCCTAAAAATACATAACCAAACTTTAATATATATCAAAGTCAGAACATAAAAATATTATATATATATATATATATATAAATTAAATATTAATATTAAATAATTATATTTAATTTAAGGTATTATATATCAAATATTAATATTATATATATATACATATGAAAAACATAATTAAATAACCATTATTTATTAACTAATTAATGTGGTTAGAACGACCCGTTTCAATTACGGAACGACCGTTCTAGACTCATTTCCCATCCCAAAATTTGCTAACCAGAACGGTCCGTTCTCATACCAGAACGGGCCGTTCTGGGGTTACAAATTAACCCACAAAGGTCATCTATGAAACGGCCCGTTCTAAAAGTGGAACAGCCCGTTCTGACTTCGCATATTGCTCATAAAATTCATTTTTGGAACGGGCCGTTCCGGGTTCCACTGCAAACAAAAATACCCAGGATAATCGATTATGGTTGGGCACATAATCGATTATGGCCTTGAATAATCGATTATGCCGAAGCATAATCGATTATGCAAGGCCATAATCGATTATGTGCCCAACCATAATCGATTATGCTTCCTTCGTACAAACAAATGACATCAAACTTACCTTCAATGGCAGTCAACAATGGCAGAGATCAATCACCAACACGCACCAGCCCGTGGAGAACGTGGAGAATCAGTGATCACCAACACGCACCAGCCCGTGGAGAACGTGGAGAATCAGTGATCACCAACACGCACCAGCCCGTGGAGAACGTGGAGAATCAGTGATCACCAACACGCACCAGCCCGTGGAGAACGTGGAGAATCAATGAGCAACACTAACCGCCGCTGTCGAAAATCTGTGAAGACACACCACAAAGAGAGCTTCCAACTCTTTTATAATATTATTTCAAACGCGGTGTGTCACTGAACGACAAAGGTCCTTCAACAATGGCAGTCAACAATGGCAGAGATTCCTGGCACTGTATGCATGCATGAGACAAGGAAACAGGGAACGTCCGTGAACCATGGCAGAGATTCCTCTGCTGCATGGCACAGTGCATGCATGGGACAGGGGCATTTCCGGGTTTTCACAAATCCTACGTGTCTTTCATCTCCTTTCTTCGCTTCTGTGCGAGGACAGTAACAATGCTTCTCCCCCCCCTTTCTTCGTCTTTCCTTCGTTGCAAATCACCGGAAACAAACACTCACTTTCCTCGCCCTTCGTTGCTCGTAAACAGTATATCACCGGAAACAAACACTACCTTAGAGTAACTGAAACTCCCTTTTATATATATATATATATGAGTTCTTTAAAATATTTTATTCCTTCCATTTTTTTTTGACAAATATTCCTTTCATCTCTAAATCTACTATACAAAAAAACACATAAATTAAAAAAATATAGAATTAATATTCAGTTAAATTAACATATTATTTATAGGTTCCCAATACGATACTCAATAGTATTTTATCTTATTTATAATGATTTTATAAAATAATTTAAAATAGATAAAATAAAAACACATCTAAAATGACAATAATGAACACTATATTAACTTTTAAATAAATAGATAAATAAAAAATATCATTTTTGTTCTAAAAATGAAGAAGTAAAATAGTAGGTAAAATATTTTCAATTTTTTATTAAATATATTTAGACATTTTTGTGACTTTAGTTTTGAGTTTATCATTACTTATGATAAATTGTTCATTTTTATATATATAAAAAATAAGTATAAAAAAAATCATATCAATAATATCTTGATTGATTGAGAGTAAAGTTATACATTACTATTAAATTCTTAAAATTCTCACTTTTTATAATTTTTTTTCCAAAAATAGTCTCAAACGTCCTATTGTGATTAATTCATTTAATTGGATGAGAAAGTGTTGCGAACAAACTGTTTAACATATTTCTTATAAGGTAATTTTATATTTTCATTAACTAAAATTTATCAAAAAAAATAAAATAAAATAACGTGATTTTACCTTTTATTTACTTGTGATTTTATAATTAATAATAAATTTTAATCAATAATAAAGTATATATAAAAATTTCTGACTAACATTTTTTTAGAATAAAATTGTTTGGTTTAAAAGGGGAAAAAGTAGTAATAATTTTAATGAAAGAAATAGCTAATGAAATTTTTTAATTAAAGAGAGAGAGAACTTATTTACAAAATAAGTACAAAAGAGAAAAGAGTAAAGAAGAATGATAAATTTCCTATACCAATGACTAAATTCATCCCCTCTAAAAATATATATATATTTTTCATTATTATTATCTTCATTCTGATTTATAAGACTAATTTAAAATAATTATTTACTCTCTTATATAAGACTTAATTTATATTATTTATATATTAATTATTATTTTTAAACTAAAATATCATTAACTAAAATATTTTTTTTTAATTTAGTAAAATGTATTAATCATAAAATATACACACTAATTGGTTAAAAAAATATTAATTAATAAAAAAATAATATAAAATATACACTTTAATTGGTTAGAAAATATATAAATAATATAAGAATTATTTAAAAATATATATATAATAAATTTATTATTTTTAATTAAATTAATTATTTTTCTTCATTTTAATAAATTAGATAATTAAATTATATATATAGAAGCGAGATAATATAACTAAAAAAGCAAAATAATTAAATTAATGTAAAAGTTTCTCCCTCTTTTAAATCCTTCCGATGGAAGTAAAAAAATTAAAACAAAAATGCTCACCTTCCTCACACGTGTGAAAGAATAGATAGAAATAGAAAACGGAGGATTTAAAAATTAAAACTCAAAGGCCACACGAAAACGTGCCTCGGAAGTCTCTTGGAGTCCTTGGCGCTTCTCGTGCTCCTCCTCGCGGTTCGTTTTACTCTCTCTTTCTTCTTTACGCATTCCACTTTTCGCATCGCCCTCGGAATCCGTCAAGTGTTCACTGTTTCCTCGCTCCGTTGCAAGCCCTCACTGCATCATGATAGCGGTGAAACGCGAATTGGTTGACGATGGCGATAGCAGTAGCATCGACAAGCATGACGGCCCCGAACTCCGTGACGCCGATTACCAAACTCCGAAAGGCCGTCGCGGTATTCGTTCTCGCTACCTCGCCGTCGCCAACATGATTCACGGTACTTTACTTTTATTCGTTGTGCTTTCCGCACTCTCGGTTGCGTTCTACGCGTGCGAATGTATATTTACAAGTTGCTAGACTTTAGAACGCACAAAACGTGCCTTGTTATCAATTTTCTGCGCACGAAACGGAATGGTCGCGTTTGGAGTGTCGCTTGCACGAGTACGTTTTGGTTTTTGCAGATGAAAAGGAGGAAATCGCGAGGCCTGACTCTGACAAGTTTGATTTCATTTTTAATGAAATGGAGAGCTTGCATCAGCTAGGTATTTGTTTATTTACTTATTTATTTTAATAGCAGCATTTTCTTTTTTAATACCTAGGCTTTTGAGTGGTTCGTCGAATTAGTTTTGAGGAAATAATGTTTTGAAACCTCTTTATGGAAATTAAAATATTATTAGTAGTTTAAAATAATCTAAACTAAACGCGTATTATTAAGAGTTATGTTATGAACATTATACGTTTAAATATGATTAATATTAAGAATGATTGAACTTTTGTATATATAATTATCGATTATAAATATACACTAATTATCTTTTAAGTGTTATTGAAAAGTTTTAATGGTAGTTAACTTTTCCTGCAAGTTTATTAGTAACTTTACGAGGTTATACCATTGACTACTCAGCATGAGTAAATATGAATAGTTTTCCTTAATAAAAAATGCTAAATAGTATGAAAGATTTTTCGATAAAATGGTACGAAACCATAAATCAACGGCTGCTTGATTTGCGTCAAGTTTTATTTTGTTTTATTATTATTATTGAAATTTTGAACCAATAAAAAAACTACTTAAACTGTTTCGTACTACATTTTGTAAAAAGAATTTCGTAACATATAGCACTGCTCTTACTTAATAATATTAAGAGGTTGCATGCGATTAATTAGTAGATGTGTAAATATATAAAATTCCGAATATTTAGTTAGTAGTGTGATGAAGTTATAGGTATATGGTTAAATTTTTTTCTCATAAAATTGATAGTATTATCAGGTTGTTAAAATGTCTGATTATGATTAATTTCGTTATACAATCGCACGTTTTAATAATACTTATATATACATTTAATCACATCACGTGTCTAGCTGGATATTACAGTTACTATTATTAATCCATGAGTTTGGAGACTTGGAGTGGAGCAAGGGAGAGGAAAAAAAATGAAATGGGATCACGACCATTTTCTGTTGATAATAATCGCATATAGTTGCGGGGGAGGAGGAGGAAGGAGAATTGTGCTACTATGCCGATTGCGTTAATTTTTGCCAAAACTTATTAATCGGTTAAAATTTGATCGATGTAGAAAGTTAGTTATTTCTATTCTACATCGATGACATTTTTATCGATTTTACAACTGATATAATATCTCCTTTTTAACTACTTTAAAAGACCCTGCACTGGTGTCTACTATTGCGGCATTCAAGACTTTAAGTAATTCATATTGTTAAATTATTATTGAAATCAATAAGGTGGGGACAGAAACTACAAATTATGAAATGAAAGACTTGTATATAATTTTAGTTACCTATATAACTAACTACAAAATATTTCAATCATATCAAATATAAAACAACATACTAATAAGGTGTTGGTCTAAAATTTGGAAGGGAAGACTCATCAAAAGTGATGAAGTCGGCGGATACTTCTAGTTACAATATATGTATATATATAAAAAAATAACAACATCCAAAGATTAGGAAAGATGATAACCAATGTTTTTATGGTGTTGCTCACATGACTTCCTTTGCTTCTCATATTCAACTTTTGTTGTAGTTCATGCCGCCATTTGTTATCTCGTCATAGGTAGTTACTCTTGCATGTAAGGATATAACTTTTTTTTTTATTGTTTCTAATGTTTTGTCTAATGTTAGTTTCAAAACCAAGAGAACAAGTAGCTGATGCAAAGGCCCTTTTGGACATCACTCAATCCTTGGTAATGTCTGTGAAAAATGTTGCCGTTGGTGGACTAACTCCTTCAAATTTTGTCACCCACATTCTTAAAAAATTCGGAGGTCAAGGTGGATCAGGTAATTGCGCAGACGATTGCAGCCAAAACTCTGTAGCTTGGAAGGATATTGGAGTTGCAGTCTCGCATGTTTTCAGAGAGGGTTGTGGGTGTTGTACAATGTAATGTTCGTATCTATATTGAGAGTTCTTTGTTATCCCATGGTAATGTTTCTTTGGATGCTAATTTTCAATTTTGCTTATTCAGGATTGGCCCAATGGATGCTAAAATGAAGCAGAGGAAGGTCATTAATCGTCGAAAGTGTGTGAGACCCACTGAATTGGCACGACCCGAAGTGGTAAACCTTGTTGTGTCTGCTGTTTTGCTATGAAAAAAAGAGCCTAACGGAGATTTCATAAACGGTTCTGATTGTGATAGACCTTTAAATGATGCATAGTCGGTTGTTTTTAATTTCCAGTTCATGATCTGCGCGTAGTTTTTTACGGTTTACCACCCATTTGTTTGTTGTGAGAACATTATGAAGATGAAATCTCTATGAGCCTAACTCGAGAAATGGAATTATTAAAGCTTAAAATTAGCTGTTTGCTATTCAGAATTGTAAATGTAGTGATTTTTATGTAATACCGATATGCTAATCTCATTTTCTTTTATTGTATATTTCTGCAGCTTGGTGGAGATTCAGGGGAAGAGAGAACTGAAACTGATAAAAATATGTTAACTATGTTTAACATCTTAAGGATTAATAAAGTCGTGAAACTTGAAAATCTGGTTTTGAATCGTAAATCATTTGCTCAAACGGTGGAGAATTTATTTGCTTTATCTTTTTTAGTCAGAGATGGGCGGGCTGAAATAAAAGTGAATGAGGCTGGATGGCAACTAGTTTGTGAGTTACTTTGAAATATTTATGCCAATTCTGAACTCTCAATTTATTATACTTTTAGTCTGGATTTTACCTCGATATTTTCTTCATTTACTTGCTCTGTGTCAGCGCCAAGGAATGCTCCAGCTGCAAATGCAATTCTTTCCAGGAATGTTGCTTTCAGCCATTTTGTATTCCGATTTGACTTTAATGATTGGAAGGTATTTTTTTTATAGTTGTCTTAGTGTATCATTGTGATTGTGTATGTTACAGTTACGAGCAATATTTTTTTGCTTCCCTTTTTCTTTTATTGAATATTTATTGGTGGGACAAATGTAATGAACCTTCGCAATCAAATGGCTGTGGGAATGTCATTGTTTTGAGAGAAGTCTAGAGCAAAATTCCCTTACCCTTAACTGCTCAGATTGTTATGGAGCTATAAAATAGCCTTCTATTTTAAATTCTATCGAGTTTCAGTATGCATTTTTTTTTTCATTTTCTTGCACGTGATTTCCTACTGGAAGCAAATTATTCAAGAAAAAGGATTTCCTTTGACATTTAATTTATGATAATTTATTCTGGAAGCTTCTGTTAAAAGAAATTTCGTGAAACTACAAGCTATCTTTTCTTCATTTGATGTCTTTGTTTTTTTATTTATCTCTTCTTGTATTGAATTTTCAGTTGATGGCTCGCTCTGTTGGGGTTGGGGAGGAGCTGATGCCTCATAGGAATAGTCAATCACAGAGTCAGAGTGCAGTATATGCAGGATCTCACGAGACAATGCCGACAGCAACAAAAGTTTTGGGAACTATCCAATAAGCGTATACGGTGAAAAAAAACTAATCACCAGAAGTGATGCATATTTTGTAGACTAATTTGTGTTGTGCTGAACTAAGTGCTCGTGTAAATGTATTTCGCATATCGTAAGAATTGTGTTGGTCATCATATGTGTAGAGTATACAAAATTAGTAGATTAATTTAAGCCTTTCGGATCAAATTTACATTATGTAGTCTCATTGTGACCATTAAATCTTTCACGGAGAAGCGTTTAATAGTTTTTTTTTTTTTTTTTACTTTAATTATTGACATTAGAAGTTAGATGCTAGTTAAAATAACATCTATGAAAATGGAAACGAATTCGTGCAAAGTGCAAGCCTTCGAAACTCGTTCTGTTTTACTCTCTAGAAGGAGTTTTAAAATAATGCGTCAAGCGGCGGCGCTACACCATTATTCGATGGGAAGCCGCCATTGACGCTGGTATAGAACCGCTGAAACTCGTCGTCGGTGAGATCGGAGAACTGCGTGATGCTGTGGACGGCAGTGGGGTCGAGCGCCAGTTGCTCCGCCGCTCTGACCAAGTTGTGTGCGAAAATCCCTAAATGGCGCAAATACCCTTCCCTGGTAGAGTACCTTTTCCCGTAATTCTCTATGAAAACCTTGAACTTCTTCTCTGTTATCGTCGAGCCTCAGCTTCGGAGCCACGTCCTGATGAATCGTGACTTGGTGGCTTTCTAGGGCGGAGCATAGGGTTAGAGCGCAGATGAAGAGTGAAGCAAGATGGCTTTGCCACCATTTTCTTGTTTCAACTTGATCTCTTCTGCCTCGCTTTTAATGGTGTTTTCTTCGGTCACCATTCTAGGTTTGGGAGAGTTACGTGGCGGAGGTTTGGAGGGTGTGTGAGTGTAAATTATTAGTACATGGAAAGGTGGCAGCATGTGGTGGTGATCAAGCTCGACATGCTGCGTGACACGTACATAGCTACGGATGACAAACTAGATAATGTTTTTTGGGATTTAGGATTTACTTTAAATATTCAAAGAAAATATAATTCAAATTTATTTAATCATTAACAATAATTTAGGATTTCTAATTTGGGGTCGGAAATAATAATAATATAAGATTTAGAATTTAAGATTTATTTAATTATACTCAAGAAATATTTCAATAATTTAAAATTTAGGATTTAATTAATTATTTAGAAGTTAACTTGGAGATAATAATAATTTGAGATTTAGGATAATTTTATTAAATAATTCAGAGGAGGAAACAATATATTTAATCGTTAATGATAATTTAATCGTTAACAATAATTTCGCATTTCCAATTTAACAATTTGGGAATCATTAACAATAATTTAGGATTTCTAATTTGGGATTTCGAATCTAAAAATTTAAGATTTATTTAATCATTTAAAGTTAAATTTGAGATAATAATAATTTGAGATTTAAATAATTTTATTAAATAATTCAGAGGAGAAAATAATTTTTAATAATTTATTTAATCACTAATAATAACTTAATCAATAACAATAATTTCGGATTTTTAATTTGGAATTCAAATTTAATCATTAACAATTTCGAATTTAATCATTAAAAGGATTTCTAATTTGAGATTTCGCATTTAATCATTTCTAATTTAAAATTTGATCATTAACAATAAATTGGGATTTGATCAATAAAAGGATTTCTAATTTTATTAAATAAATTAGAATAGGAAATAATTTATTAATAATTTATTTAATCATTAACTAATGATAATTAACAATAATAAAATTTGGAATTTCAGATTTGACAATTAAAAATATTTCTAATTTGGGATTTGATCATTAACAATAATTTGGAATTTCTTATCTAGATCAGAAATTTCTAATATAACATTTAGGAATTATTAAAAAGACTTCGGATAAATCATTTCTAATTTTGGATTTGATCATTAACAATACAATAATTTGGGATTTCAGATTAACAAATTGGGAATCAGGAATTTCATATTTGACAATTAAAAATATTTCTAATTTGGGATTTGATCATTAACAATAATTTGAAATTTCTAATCTAATATAACAATTTGGGAATCATTAAAAAGATTTCGGATCAATCATTTCTAATTTTCGATTTGATCATTAACAATAATAATTTGGGATTTCAAATTAACAAATTTGTTATGTGATAAAAATGTTGTGTGTTGTTGATATATGATTAAATATTTATTTATAATGTTGTTGGTGATGCTTTTGTGATGAAGATGAGATGTAAATGAGATGCATGTTGTAATTAAGTTGTGAAGTTGTTTAACCAATCCACATATGGAGTTAGCCCACCCACTGTCCTCTAAGTACCACACACCCTCCAGTACCTAGTCAAAGACTACATCTCTAACTAGATACCTTACTCAAATTGGTCATTCAACCATGACATGGATCGACTACTTCCATGTCGCCCACACAGTACTAAGGGATTCAACTTTAAAACAACTTTCAACTTATCTCCTTAGTACTATGTATCTCAACATAGGACATATATCTTTACCATATGTCCCCAACTTTTCAACTTTACAACAATAGACACCATAACAACTTTACAACAATAAACATCTGGCCGCTTCTAATCGGTATAGCTAAGCCTGGCTCCTATACTGTGGTCACTTTGTACACGTGTGCCTCGACCTTGCCCACACATGGGATCAACTAAGTCCTAGAGGAGAACAACACAACGTCCACTCCAAGGGACAACTTCCCAATGAGGGTTTTTCAACAAATTGGGCTCTCAGAGCACCACAACTATCTCAATCCACACAATGGGATGAGCAACTTCAAAAATATCTCCCATAGTCCTAGTGATCAACAACTCATCATCACAGCTTAATCAACTTAACAACTTAAACAACATACAACTTTTCAACTCATCATCTCAATGTAATTATACAACTTCTTATTCAATTATACAACTATGCAACTTTAATAATTTTAACAACATGTAAACAACTTAATTAAACAACTATAGTCATTACAATATCAACTTAAGGCAACTTAACAACTTTATAAACAACTTCAGCAATATACAACATATTTAAAACTCATCTATCATGTCAACTTACACAATATAAACAACATAAATCAACTTAAGCACCCAACAACTCAACTATTTCAACAAAAGAACATCATGCATAAAGCTTCCCTAACTCTCCTGAAATTAAACAACGTATATTCTAGCTTCCATCACCTGAAGATTGGCTCAAAATAGCCAATAACTGAGAAGAAGTAGAATTCCCTTCCGAAGCTCAACCCAGAACTTCAATCCTCCCAAAGCAAGCTTCCTAAACTGAATTTCAAGAAAAGACAGAAGGCATTAGTGATCTAGAGGAAAAAAGGAATCAGACAGAGAAATTTGAGAGAGAAAGGAGCTCACAGACCCATAATCCTTCTCTCTAAAACCTCATTTTCTCCCAGACCCTAAACATGTAGTATGAGTTGTGTTATGTGATAAAAATGTTGTGTGTTGTTGATATATGATTAAATATTTATTTATAATGTTGTTGGTGATGCTTTTGTGATGAAGATGAGATGTAAATGAGATGCATGTTGTAATTAAGTTGTGAAGTTGTTTACAAGTTGTGTGTTGATCTTTGATATTGTTGAAGCATGTTGAAATTAAGTTGATAGTTAAGTTGATTGAGATGATGAGTTGAAAAGTTGAATGTTGTTTAAGTTGTTGAGTTGAGACCCTAAACCCTAAACCCTAAACCCTAAACCCTAAACCCGGTTTTCGTTTATATATTGAAACGAAATACTAAAACCAAAGAAATACTATTTATTTTACACAACCAAGGTTTTCGTTTATTTATTGAAACGAAAGTGATACAGAAATATGAAAACACACTACGCATTTCTCCATATCAAAAATGGAGAGAAAAGGGAGACAAACATGAAGATAACTAAACAAGAACAAAAAGGGAAAAACCATACCTTGTTATTAAACTGTTGCTAATAAACTTTGATGATATAATCATCATTACTTAACTATAAGTACCACCGGTTCCATACCCATAATCATTTGGGTTCCCGCCGGTACGAGTGTTATGGGCCGTAGCTGTCCCACTCGGGCCTCTATTGGCCCCAACGGGGTGGGAGCCCACCACTCCCTCAGTCACATGGCCCGTGGGCTGCCCAGTTCCATGACCAGGCATAGCCGACGTTTGATGGGCCCCCATGGGCTGCCCATATTCCCCGGTTGTGGAGTACGTGGCGGTTCCGGTCCCAGTTCCAGTTCCGGTGGTATAGTGACCCTGTCCCATGTGCCCCGCCGCGGTCGACTGTTTCGCCGCCGCGTTATGCTCACGCGCCGCCTGCTTTTCCAGCTCCGCCTGGGTCATCCTTGCGTCTTTCTTCTGTGTTGCCATCTCCTTTTGCACCGGATTACGTGCCGTCATCCTTTCTGCCTGGTTAAACCAAAAACAAGAAAAACATTGGTTCCATCATAACATGGTTTGATGTAACAAACACACACAAAAAACACAAAGTGACCAAAACAATTGTTAAAACATTCTTCTTACCTTCTCTTGGACAGTGGCCTTGGTCTTCTCCATGCCAGACTTGGCAGAAGCGCCAATATTTGCGGCCTTTTCCTTAAGGGACTCTCCTGCTTTCTTTCCGCTCTGCATTTTCAAAGATGGATTCTTTGTTTCTGAGCTTAGTGAGGGTTCTTCACCTCATGCAGCATGCAACCCAATAAATAAATTTATGTGCTACGCTATCTTTACCACACGTGTCAATGCCGTACGCGTGGCAACTTTCTCAGCTAATTGCTCTCGTCGCCTTACACGTATCTGCCGCGTACCTGTTCGTGACCAACTTAGACACCGCATGGGTTAGAGGTTCTAGGCTTCTAGCATCACCTATTTATTTGTTTATCAAAATCATTAAATTCAGATTTTTTTTAAAACTCCTTTAATTAATCAAATGGCTGATCGACCATTGCAGGGTTATTATTAAAATTAATTACGTAAATGGAACTGTTTTGAAATTATTTACATCTTTGAAGAAATTTATCACAGTTATTATGGCTCACAACGACATTAGTGTAATGTGTATTTATTTTTATTTTATTTAGAATGGCTTGAATTTAGCCATATAAAAATTGTTACCAGCTGTAACGATATTAATAATATTAATAATGTCGTTATCAACTGTTTCAACATCTAAAATGGCTCAATTTTTTAAAAAATAATTTTTTTCATTTAAATAAAAAAAATTAAAAATAAATTTATTTTAAGAGCTGAGCTTTTAAAATATTTTAATAATCTACAAAAAAAATAAGATTTTTTAAAAAATAACTCAAAATAGTTCAGTCAACCAAAAATAAATTAATAATATATTTTAAGATAAATTTAAATAAAAATATTTAAGATAAAAAAAAACTCCGTTTTTATAATGAAAAAATTTTAAAATACTGAAAAAAAAATGTTAAAAAAATATTTAAAAAATGAAAATAAGTAATACGAAAAAAAAGGATCATTATGGACAATAACGACATTAGTAGTATTTAATAAAATAAATTTAAATAAAAATAATTAACATTAAAAAATTCCATTTTTATAAAGAAAAGTTTTATTAAAAAATGGAAGAAAAAAAATTCTGAAAAAAAGGTGTATAGCCTCAATAATCCAAAAAACATGAAAAATTTGAATAAATAAATAAATAAAATGCAGTCGCTATGAGTTATAGGATCTGACAGATAAAAAAATGAAAAACTAAACAAATAAATAAAAACTCAGGTCGTTATGAGTCATAGCGATAAAAAGTTATTATGCGGCATAACGACTCTAGGTAGTCAAAAAAAAAGTACAAAATTTTAAAAACAGTAAACAAAAATTGTTAAATACATCTGAAAAAGAAAAAAAAAGAAAAAATATAAAAGAAAAAATAAGTGAAGGAAAAAATGTAAAAAAACGCAAAAAATAATGAATTACAAAATAAAATTTTAAAAAAACATTGGTCAAATAAATCTGGAGAAAAAAAAAAACAAGGTCATTGTGAGCCGTAGCGACTTCTTTGGCTATATGGCCTCAATGATAAAAAAAAGCGAATAATTAAAATAAAATTAAAAACAAAAAAACAAAAGGCGCTATGGAATATAAGATCTGATTGATAAAAAAATGAAAAATTAAATTTTAAAATAAAATTAAGGTCGCTATGGCCCATAGCGACTTAGGTAGTCCCAAAGAAAAAAGTACCGCACTTGACTTCCTACATGCTTACTACATGTCATTTTTACCGCAAAAACACCAATAAAAATTCGACAGATGACACCATAACAGTTAAAAAAAAAAACTTACCACCCATATAACCCAGTTACCCTGAGCTCCCCCTATCCCCCACATTTGTCTCCAGGTCAGGTATGCAATTTTTTATATTTTTCAGTTGTGATAATTTTTTTTATAAGTTTATATAATTATAAATTTTTAGTTTAATTATTAATTTTATTATATTTTCGTTATTTAAATTAATTTGATTGTAACATTCATATTTTTGAATTTTTTCAGGTTATTGCTGATTTGTTTTGATTTTTTCATGTCAGGTATTTTTTATTTTAGGTAAATGTTTAGTTATTCATAATAAATATTTAATATTTAAAAAAATTGTGAGTTATTCATGTCAAGTATTTTATATTACCTTCATTTTTTAAAATATAAATTAATATTTTAAAATCGTTAATATATTTACATATAATATATATAAATAAAATTTTAATTAACAAATAAATCGATAGGGTACATAACGACTTTAGATTTCATATTTTTAATTAATATTTATAAATTAATTTTATTTATTTAATAATATATGAAAATTTTATATTTTACTATTTACTTACTTTATTATATTTATATTTA